ATTGCTTATTTGAAACAACTTATGCTTTTCTACAAAAGCACTTATCAATTTATTATAAGTCAGAAGGATTTAACTTCTTTAGAAACTCCTTATCACCGGTTTGGCACCGTTATAAGTTGTTTATCCAAACACTCAAAAGTGTTTATTACCGGTGCCACACTGGAATAAGTCAATAAGTTATTTTTATAAGCAATCCAAACACCCCCTATATATATTCTGATTTTGTATATTTAAATATGGTGGTTGAACTGTGTTACCGCTTGGAAAATTTTCTACGTCCGCCTCTACCTTTTTTTAAGCAGTTATAAAACCATCCAATCTCCGAAATAATAAGGGGAATAAATTTTGCATTTACGTAGCATCCAACACCGTTGACACCATTTTGTCAAAAATTTGACGAAGTACGTACAAATTATTTTGTATTAAATAATCCTGATTGATTGAAATTCTTGATTTCTTTGAAAATAATAGACGTATTCAGTTCAAAGTTTATGGTCAACTGTTACAAAAAGCATTTCGAAATAATCAACGCAGTGGTCGAAAGTTGAAACTACGGAAGACAAAGGGTATTTTAGTCATTTCAAGTAACTTTATGTCCATTTTAGTACTAGTATTGGATGAAAGTTGCAATTATATTATTATAAAAGAAGTCTTTAAAAATCTAAAACTTGTTTGTCCAAATACTAAGAAGTAGCTTCCTAAAGGCCCAGGAAGAATACAGTTAATGACAAAAATGGTACCTGTAATTCTAATGTTTGCACTTGTGGATCGTGCTTAGAAAATCTTTTACAATTTTGGTCCATTACTCCATAATTCTTTTAGAGATAAAAAGAAAGCAAACATTTTTTTTAACAATGCATGAGGATAAGTGTCACTCTAATCGTAAAGTCTCGTAACATAGCCTCAACGACACAGGAATTCAACTCGAGTGGCTACCCGCATTAGAACCCATGACTTCATTCGCTTATTTATTTGAATTACGACTCGTACTTATAAACGTTAGATTTCTTGTTCTAAAAAGTTTTTGATGATACTAAATTTGCACTAAGGGAATTTCTTGTTTGACAAAAAAAAGTCTGTCTCTTAATGGTTCTAAAACCCTCTAAATGATTTTTGTATCTTGGACCTCTTTTAACCATTTAGCACCCTAATTTCATTCTGAATAATTACCAAATAATTATATTTCATTTTTCACTATATTATAAGAGTTTCTTAATCATTCTGACCACCTAATTATTCTGTACCAAACCATTCAACAACTGTCAAAACCATTAATTGGATCACTTTTATCACTATAAGATGATAGAGGCCTTTTTTTAAAACTTCAACTATCTAATCATGTCATCCAATGGCTAATGACACATTAAACATCTTTATGCTAATAATAAAGAAAATAATTAAGATTGAACCCATAATTTTCCTCTAAATAATTAAACCTTTTATACAAATACTACCCATTTTTGTCTTGTTTTGCTTCAGACAAGAGAGATTAAGGCTTAATTATTTGAAAACTCCAAAATTTATGTGATACGTGAGAACTTTTATCTTAAGATTTTGTTTCACATGATTATTTTTCATCTAAAATGTATCAATTAACGTATATTTGTTTCACAATGTGTTTGTTTCATATGTTTTTGGTTCACAATGTAAAACTTTTTTACATGTATTTTTTGTCTCATAAACATGTCAAAAAGGTTTATATTGTGAACCAAGTATATATGAAACAAACATATTGTAATACAAATATATATTAATCAATATTCTAATCCTAGTTTATATGAAATAACACATGATACATAAGTTTTCAAAGTCATGAGAATTGCATATTCTCATGTGTTGTAAAAAGGTCATATATATATATATATATATATATATATATATAGGTGAGTTATTATACAACCATATACATTTGTATAACCAATACAACCAATCTCAACCGTCTATTTAATTTGATGAATATGTAATTTCATAAATATATATATATATATATATAGAGAGAGAGAGAGAGAGAGAGAGAGAGAGGGGTTGGTTATTATACAACCATTGACATTTGTACAACCAATACAACCCAATCTCAACCGTCCATTTCATTTGATTAATATGTGATTTCATAGAAGTTTTGATTGTTTCTTAACATAAAGTATTTGTCATAATTAATGAACCATATTCATCTTCCATAAATATTCAAATAATAATAAATAAATTCTCATCATTTCCATAAATATCTCAATTTATTGGGTTGTCAGGGTCGTCCCTGGGGGAGGGCGGGCCGGGCATATGCCCAGTGCCCATAAAAATTAGGGGCCCAATTTTGTTAATATATATAAAATATAGTAGTTTAAATAAATTAGTAAATACAAGACACATAAAAAATTTAGTATCTAATATGACAAGAAAAGATTTTGGTACTACATTAACTATTAAAGACCCAAACATATATGAATTAAATATATTGGAGAAAAAAAAATACCTAAAGAGGTTAATCTGTCGTTCATTATATAATATTATTTAATGTTTTTCTAAGTTTTTTTTTATCTAAAACCGACATTTAAAACTACTTGTTTCGAAAACTTTGATATATTCTTCATAATTTATCTCTCATCGACTCTTTTGATTGTTCCATTCTTGCATTAATTCTATTTTTATATTAGAATATGATAGATTTTCTTGTTATTAGCTAACAAAACCCCCATCTTTTGAAAAAATTACCAATCATATAAGACGGTACAACTTATATCTATATTTAGAATAATAAAACTATAATTGTTTTTTCATAGTTGTTCTTTATTATCTAATATTGAGTGTATAAATCTTATGTATTATTTTATCTCTAAAAGAAGAATAAGATTTCAAACTATCACCAACATGAGTTTTTTTAATTTATATAATCGATGATTGCAAAAAAATTTGTTTTAACTTTAACCCTATGTTCTTGAGTCTTCTTTTATGTAGGAAAGAGAGGAAAGTAATGGGAGAAAAAAATATATTTTGTTCTTGAGATTTTTTTAGGGAAAGGAAAGAAATTATATTAAAATTTTATTTTTATTTCATTATTTTTCGTTCCTTTTTTTTTCTCTATTAAAAACACAAACAAAAAACTTTATTTTTCTTCCTTTCTTTTATTTTTCTTTTCCTTTCTCATTCTTTTCTTTCATTCCCAAATTCGAAATCATAATATAAAAGTTTAAAATGGTATTAATTTTCCCAAATTCGAAAACATGATATAAGTTTTAAATGGTATTAATCTTTCCAAATTCGAAAACATAATATAAAAGTTTAAAATGGTGTTAAAAATATTAACATGAGATGACATGGAAAAGTCCAATCCATTTATATTGATTTACATACTGTCACTCAAAAATCAGAATAATCGACTTTGTGACCCCAAATGATGTCATTTTATGTACCAAAAGTATATCATAGGATGTTTTTTATGACGAAACAAATCAACGATACCACAAAAAAATGTTCTAGTAGATAATATTAGTTTAGAAACGAGTATTGATTGATTTTGCGTCCAGGAATACTTGGAAAAACGGTTTTATATGAATTCAATGTTATTTCTGATTATAAAAACAATATATTGAAAAAAATATCGTACTTATCGAGAGCCCATTTTTACATCTCGTCCAGGGCCTAAAAATTGTCAGGAACGGGCCTGTGAGTTGCATTGGTTGTACAAATGCGACAGGTTGTATTTGAAACAAAATATATATATATATATATATATATAGGGTTGGGTTCACGTGAGACCAAAGGTTTTTCGTGAGACCCGTAAGACCAATTTATGTTCATTGATCAACTTTATAAGTTAATGATTAAACGGTCTAAATTATATGGTGGCAATTTTGTGATTATTGAAAAATCTCGTGGCGTTTATAAATGTTTAGATTGTCAGATTATAGATCTAATCCAAAGGTTAAGAATTGGTCTCACGGGTCTCACGAAAAACTATTGTTCTCACATGATCCTAAGTATATATATATATATGGTTGGGTTCACGTGAGACCAGCCTGTTTTCGTGAGACCCGTGAGACCGCATTTTTACACGTAAACTTCACAGCAAAAACATTGTGAAGGTTTAAAAAAAGTCGAACATTCATAGCAAAAACACTGTGAAAGTTTTAAAAAGTCACCTTCACAGCATTTTATTGTGAAGTTTCAAGTGTAAAATGTTAGTCACACGGGTCTCACGAAAACAGGCTGGTCTCACATGATCCCAAGTATATATATATATATATATATATATATATATATATAGGGGAGCGATCAAATGCAAACCACTCAATTTGTACAAACCATGCAAGCCGCATTCAACCAATCATAATTTTTCATTTTGTTCATTTTTTGTAATTATGAGAGGTTGATTAATCACTTTTATTGTGGAGGGTGTTAATCATAGATATTATCATCTTCATAATTTTAATTTTAGAGAAATACATGAAACAGTTTCATTAATGTTAGAGAAATACATGAAACAGTTTCATTAAGTATTATATGAAACAATTTCACAACCATATATGAAACAACTTCATCAAAAAAARGWWTTATATGAAACAATTTCACAAGATTAAACAATTTCATGAAAAAATTTCATAAGATTAAACAATGAAATCGACAGATGAATGTGGTTTGCACGGTTTACACAAATGTGTGCGGTTTTCATATGATCACTCCTCTATATATATATATATATATATATATATATATATATATATAAAATATGAGATGCTTAGTTACCATGTGCTCATCTAATTGACGCCACGTGCACGTAATTTTCATATCCACTATTTACCAAGAATCTTGTTGGTCAGAAAGACAAGAGGATGTGTAACCAAAATGAGAAAGAAGTTTTCATTATGAAGCCTTTGACAAATCCTAGAAACCTAGGGACTAAAAGTGCAATATGAGGAATAATACAAGGACCATTTCAGTAATTTACTCAAAAAAGCTGCATAAAAGCCCCCCAAAAGACAACCAAGAGAGAGAGAGGGAGAGAGATGAAAATAGTGTTAAAATGGTCGTCCATATTGTTGATAGTATTAGTGCTTGTTGTGAAGGTGTTGATGGTGTTATGGTGGAAACCAAAGAGGATTGAAAAGCATTTTGGTAAACAAGGCATAAAGGGACCTCCATATTGCTTCTTTATTGGCAATGCCAAAGAGATTGTGAGCTTGATGGTGAAAGCTTCTTCACAACCCATGTCCATGCCTTTTCATCACAACATCCTCCCTCGAGTCCTCTCGTTCTACCATCATTGGAACAAAATCTACGGTATGTCTCATCCTTAACCTGATATCGTCCATCAGATTCTATCAAGTTCAATCTTTGACGATATTGTATGTGTAAGTTAAGGTCCGTGTATCTAATTCAGTTGTAACTGTGATACATACATATATATATATATATACATATATATATATATAAGAAGATAATTAAGATTTGAATCGATGATCTAGACATGGGTTCTTGATGGTTTCTGATGTTATCAAGAGTTTTGGAGTATATTGATGGTATAAACCCTAGAGTAGTTGATGGCTTCAAGATTTCTTGTTTGCTATGTGAATCTGATCTATTTTATTCATCTTGTTTAGATGGTTTGTTATCGTTTTTATCTTTCTTTCTTTATACAACGATATCACCACATGGGTATATATATATATATATATATATAGATATAGATACAGATATGATCATCCAATCAATGTCTATTTAGGAGTTCTTATTACATCTATCTTATATGGAAAGACTTGTTTCCTATTATACCTTGTGTGAAATGTCTTAAAATAGTTTTTTTTAATTAACCTGGATATCCTAGAGATATGTATGCTTTATGTTCTTTTTTTGTCTGACTTTGTGCTTCTTATGGGATTCTTTTCTAACTTGATGGTTACCATTTTTTTTCTACTGATTTTAGTTACATTAATCGTTTCATGCAATCTTTTGTCACGTTTTCATGATGACAATTGTAATTGATATGAATCTTGTTAACGGAATTATGTAGGTCCTACATTTCTTATATGGTTTGGACCGATGGCTCGTCTCACTGTTGCTGATCCTGATCTTATTCGAGAAGTGTTTTGTTCCAAATCAGAATTATATGAGAAAAACGAAGCTCACCCTTTGATTAAACAACTAGAAGGTGATGGTCTCCTTAGCCTCAAAGGTGAAAAATGGGCTCTCCACAGAAAGATCATCACTCCCACGTTTCACATGGATAATCTCAAAGTAAAATTTTCTACTTATCAGTTTTTCAATGAATAATTTAATAAAGAAACAGTATTTGATGTATTTTTATTGTTTGTTATAGTTATTGGTACCTGTGGCAGCAAGTAGCGTGGTGAAAATGTTGGACAAGTTGTCAAATATGTCGGATTCTGGGAAGGTGGAAATTGAAGTCTCTCGATGGTACCAAAACCTAACAGAAGAGATAGTGACGAGGATCGCGTTTGGCAATAGTTATGAAGATGGAAAACATATTTTTCAATTACAAGCTCGACAAATGGTCTTAACTTCTGAAGCGTTTCAAAAAATCCCCATTCCATGTTACAGGTATATATTACAAAGGAAATGTTCAAACGAGAAGACAATCAACTTACGATAAGCATTAAATCACATGTGATTCTAAAGCAAAAACACATCACATGTGATTTCACTCTGAAATCATATGTTCAAATCAAAAACAAATCAACCTACAAATTGCATGATTTGTAGTATGCATGTTGAATGGTTGATAAAGAAAATTACACGATTTATTCTGTTTGCTAATTACTTGAACACCTTTTAAAATTATATCGGTTTTTACATAAAATTTGGTCATTCTTCTTTGATGGATGTTTATATGCAAAATACATGTTTTAAAACATAATTTTAATCAATTATATGATAACTTTTTTACGTTGGGTGTCCCAAGTAAGTTATGACTTAGAGTCGTGCATGATCAATACTCGTAAGTTTTTATCATGATTATAACGTTGTATTACTTTGTGGGATTTGTTAGGTTTTTACCAACGAGAAGGAATAGAGAATCTTGGAAATTACAAAAGGAAATCAAGAAATGTTTGATTGGGGTAATTGAGAGGAGGAGGGAAAAGTGGGATGGCGAAGAAATGGGAAATGGGCCCAAGGATTTGCTTGGTCTTATGATAGAAGCGAGTAGGAAAGAATCGTTGAATTCCTCGCCGCCGGCGATCACGACACATGACATAGCGGAGGAGTGCAAAAGTTTTTTCTTCGCTGGAGAACAGACAACATCCAACCTGTTGACATGGTCCACCGTATTGCTAGCGATGCACCCACAATGGCAGGTGATAGCACGTGACGAGGTGCTTGATGTGTGCGGACCACGCAACATCCCCACCAAAGATTGTGTTTCCAAGCTTAAAACGGTAACCCTCCCTCTTCTCTTAAAAAAACACGTTTTTTCCTTCTAGCCACTTGAAATTACTTTTTTACCCTTACATATACATTTTTTAAGAGTATAATATTTTATGTAACTTGCACACACACTTCGGTTATGATGGGATGAAACTATTTATCACCTCTAGGGATATTGGCTCTACGGTGACCTGAATAATATTTAACCAATGGCCATTTAGTTTATATATGCTAACTTTCACTCTCAAATCGGTTTACGAAAAAATACGTATGTTTTATTTTAATCATAAAAACTACTTGATAAGAACAAAATGGAGAATTTTTTTTGTCAAAAAACCAATGGAATCTATATCTTGTAACGATTATTAATCAATAAAGAATAAATTTTGATAAATCTTCTAAATTGTATTATGTATTTTGAAATAACAGTTGTTATTCTTGTGCAGTTGACCATGATACTCAACGAGTCCTTAAGACTGTATCCTCCAATCGTGGCATCAATCAGACGAGCAAAAACTGATGTGGAGTTAGGTGGGTACAAGATCCCACGAGGAACCGAGCTTCTTGTACCTATCTTGGCTGTTCATCATGATCAGACCATCTGGGGCAATGACGCTAATGAGTTCAACCCTGGTCGGTTCGTAGATGGAGTGGTTGGTGCATCTAAGCATCCTATAGGCTTCATCCCTTTTGGGCTCGGTGTTCGCACATGCATCGGGCAAAATCTTGCAATTTTACAAGCGAAACTAACACTTGCAATGATATTGCAAAGATTCTCTTTCGAGTTGTCCCCAAAGTATCAACATGCACCCACAGTTCTAATGCTACTTTATCCACAACACGGTGCACCAGTTATCTTCAAACACATACCGTTAGATCCTAGCAACAAAGGAGATCAAGGGTTGTAAAATGACCCACAAAACCGAATTAAAAGATAACCATAGCAAATCTTAAACAACAAAAGGTTATAGGATGAAATAGTAAATTATTTTTATTTTCATTCCTACCCCATTAGTTTACTTAAATAGCTATAATGACCCTTCAAGTACAAAATGTCGTGTATTTGCCAGAAGTGTGTAATTTCGGGAATGTAAGTAGTTAGTTAGAAATTTTTATCTGCCTCCCATGTGTATTTTATGTAAATCTTGTTCATATCTAACAACAATTTTGTAGATATGAGGTTATAATTTGTTGGTTGGCTTTGATCGGTGTTTTAAATCAGATATCCTAAAGCATACTGTATTTTCCAAAAAAAACATACTAAAAACTGTAAATCTTCCTTTTTTTTTTGTAAGGGTGTCCGGGCCAAAGCCCGACTAATCCCCGGCAATTTTTGGAGGCTAAACATGGCCCCACTTAAATGTCGCCAACACTCCCCTCCCAGAGCTCGAACTTGGGTTCATGACTATGCCATGCCCAAGCCTTTACCACTAGGCTGGAAGGTCTTTGACAAAAAATTGTTTGCTGTAAAAACTCATCTACTAAAACCTAAAGAACAATTGATGAAGATTTTTATACAAATTTTTATTGTAGTATGTAATAAAAGAAATGGACACTTTCAAAATGAGTTGGGAACCCAAAATTCAACATGTTTTTTTTAAGTATATAATATTTATATACGGTAAATAGAACAAATAAACTCACACACCCTCCTTACATTTTGTGATGTTTGACCCCTGATTTTGTAGAAGGTCAAAGACTTACATACCTCAATTTTGACAACAAAACTGGAGAGGATTAAAAAGTGGAATTAAATAAAAAATCTTAAAAACTATAGCTACATAAAATGTACAAAAGGCCAAATAAACCCCATATTAATGCACCAAACATTATTTTCATAATTATTTGTCTCTGGACTTTTAATTATATATATACCGGACCACATCAAAAGAAATTCATGAGAAGCGTGATTTGATGACGGTTTTTACCTGACGGTTATCAAAAAAGTGGTGATATTTTAGTACATACATAAAAACCTTGACGATATGATTGTAAGAAAGACTGGATTATACATAAATTCACATGAAAAACATGTACTCAAGCCTTCACGTGAAAAAACATACGAACCTTGATATGAAAAACACTGATCCTAGACATACTTTTAAATTTAAGACTCAAGATTATCCACAAATGACCAAATGGTCTTTGTTCTAGCGGTATCATAGTCTTTGGTCTTCTAGGAGGTCAAAGGTTCAAACCTCATCAAAGGTGAGGAAAGTATATGAAGTTATTTATTTCATTTGCCGTATATAATTATTATATATTTAAAAAAGAAAGATTATCCACAAATGTAGGTCTTTTTGTAGACATTATTCCATATTTTTCTTTTATTTTTTTATTTTTTTTATTATTAAATCATGTGGGTTTCCCTCTCTTCTCTTTTTAATTTATTTATTGATGGTTTTTAGCTTTTGTTAGAGGAATAAAAGCATGGTAAGATGCATGTGATCACCTCCTAATTACTTACCTTCTAAATACATCTATTTTTTTTAGTTTGCCTTAATGCATCAATCACAAAAAGACATTATATATATATATATATATATATATATATATATATATACAAAAGGTTGCGTTCATGTGAGATCAGTTTGTTTTAATAAGACACATAAGACCAACACTGAAACCTTCACAACAGTTAATCACATGTCTATATACATACAAATGGCATACTAAACATTTTGTAAGTAGAAACTAATAATGATTATAATATAAGACGAAGTCCAAAGACAATATATTCATCGATACCATGACATTGCCAGCTATAAAGCGATTTGCGTTTTTTTTTTAATGCATAAAGTTTGACGCGATTCCCACAATTTATAGTAATCGATATCTTAATATACGCATAATGGTCTGTAAAATGAATTATGTATACATAAAGTAACATCTATTTGTAGATAATTAATTGAGTTTGCATGTGACTTTTTTGTTCTAAGCATACTTTTTAATATAAAATTGTGAAGATGTCTCCCACATTGTACTAAACAACAAATTTAACATTCTAAAACCCCATTCAACAATGTTTGCAAGTACAAAAGTTATTGCAAATTTTAAGGAACTTGTCTTTTAATTTTATATATATATATATATATATATATATATATATATATATATATTATTTATTTCAACAAGAATTTGTGTCGACTATGTTATAAGGGTTGCTCGTAAAATGAGACGAAAATACGTATAACACACGACAGGTAAGATTGGATCAGATTGTGTTATGGTGTATTGGTTTAAGTCGTATGGGATGTGGTGGAAAATCTCATCTAACTTGGGTTTCAAATTCAAGCACAGCCAAAGTCTTTGCGTAACAGTTACATTTTTTTAATTAAGTAAATGACAATTTTACCCTTTAATTAAATTTTTCGTGTTCATAAGTTTTAGGTATTTATATATTTATCAAGGGTAGACTTTGGTTATCTAATTTTTAAATAAAAATATATTTGATTAAAAAAAAAGGTAATAATAATGAAGTAAATATTGAAAAAAATGAAGGTAAATTAGAAGATGAGAAGCAAGTGGTTTTGAGATTGTAGATCCCAAGTATTGTCGGTCTCCATCCCTACCCCCATCCACCACCACAAAAACCCTTCGTCTATTCATAAGGTTGCATATACATACATGTGCCTATATCTATATCTATATCTATATCTATATATAGGCCAAGGATTATGTCAAAAATGATAGTTAAGGTAAGAAACGTAAAAATGGATATGGATATTTCATCAACTTTAATCTTAAATACACTCATAAATCGTGTTTGAAACGGAGATTGATCTCATGTATCTCGATGCGTCTTATCCTAATGTACATCCAAGAGTGAAGATCACTTATTACTCTTCTCATCTTAACTTTCCTTCTCCCCAAAACTCGGCCCCGTATATATATCTATACACCTAATTAGTAAATAACTTTGGGGACACATGTCATGTTTCTGTGTGATAGTTATTGATTTTTCCCGCCTAAACTTGTATCTAAACACAATTTTCACTTACGGTTCAAATAGGTCTATTTAAGTGACATATGTCCCTCTACACGTTTATTTTCCTGTTTTTGTGGTGTAACTGATTTCCCAGACTAATTAGAAATCTCTGGATTTTCATTCCTCAGACTTACAAGTCTAAACTCTTTTTCCTCAGTTAAAATTCAGAGTTGTCTTCTAGACTTGTAAGACATACCAGTATAAAAGTCTGAGGACAAGTCTGAACTCCTTTTTCTCAGTTAAAATTCAGAGTTGTCTTCCAGACTTGTAAGACATACCAGTATAAAAGTCTGAAGACAAGTCTGAACTCCTTTTCCTCAGTTAAAATTCAGAGTTGTCTTTCAGACTTGTAAGANTATAAAAGTCTGAAGACAAGTCTGAACTCCTTTTCCTCAGTTAAAATTCAGAGTTGTCTTTCAGACTTGTAAGACATACCAGTATAAAAGTCTGAGGACAAGTCTGAACTCTTTTTCCTCAGTTAAAATTCAGAGTTGTCTTCTAGACTTGTAAGACATACAAATATCAAAGTCTGAGAAAATAAGGGTTGTAAGTCTGAATTTAACTCTGAAGCGGACTCCAGACTTCTAAGTATGAATGTAGGAACTCAAATGAAGTCTGACCTGTGAATTTAACTTTGAAGTGGACTTCAAACTTCTAATTCAGACTTATGAGTATGAATTTAGGAATTCAAATGAAGTCTGAGCTGTGAAGTGTTCCGAAAATCTAATGACCAAATTGTAACTTTCTCTAAAATGGTCGAAAACTGCCATATGACAGTTAAAAAACCGAGTTCTCAAAACAGAGTCAAAACCTGGTTTAAAATTTCAAATTCGGATTTTTGAAGCATTTTTCACAAATCAATATTACCCGGAAAAAGAATCCGACCCCAGCCAGGGGCTCTGCCCCTTGGACCCCGCCACCGAAGGCGCTGCCGACGGACCCTCGTCGCTCTCCCCTAAATCAAAATAAACTCAAACAAGTGTGCACTTAACACCTTCCTTACTTGTTCGATATTTATCATGATTACATTGGTCAACAAATTAATCCAATTACACTTAAATGACATTAGTGATACAAATCACCAACATGAAGTCATCAGATATTTGTTATTTCTCAGACTTACAACATAACTCTGAAATTTTTATTTTCCAAACTTTGTTCTATAGTTTATTTCCAGACTTATAATACAACTCTAAACTCCTCTTCAGAGTTTTCAGAGTTTAAGTTCAGAGTTACGTTTCTGAGTTATAAGAAGTCAAAATTCTTGTGATTCAGAGTTATGCTCATAGATACTGTTAGTCCCGAAGGGTAAGGCAATAAACAGAAAGTAATTGTAGA